TTGGCATCACTACTTACATGGAGAAGGTTGTTACCTATATACGGATCATAAGAGCTTGAAATATCTTATGAATCAGAAAGAATTAAACTTGAGGCAGAGAAGATGGGTTGAATTCCTAAAGGAATATGATGTGATAACTGATTTCAATCCTGGAAAAGCAAACGTGGTAGCAGATGCCTTAAGTCGAAAAATGTTTGTAGCTTTACAACCTTTAGATGCAAGGTTATCATTGGATGGAGATAATGCAATATGTGCAGAATTGAAGATTAGGCCAACCTTGTTGGGTAGAAATAAAGAATTATAAAACAAAGATTAAAAGTGTTTGAAGAGGTTGCAACAAGCAAAAATGAAGAGATTAAATATTATGAGATTAAGTCTGATGGTAATCTATATTATCGAGGGAGATTGGTAATTCCAGATGATGAGGAATTGAGGAATGATTTGTTGAAAGAGGCCTACTGTAGTCTATTAACGATGCACCCAGGTGGAAACAAGATGTATATGGATTTAAAGAGTCGGTATTGGTGGTCGGGAATGAAGAGAAGTATTACGCAATTTGTGTCCAAGTGTTTAACTTGCCAGCAAGTTAAAGCTGAGCATCATGTTTTGTCAGGATTATTGCAACCAATATATATTCCTCAATGGAAATGGTAGAATGTAACGATGGATTTTGTGAGGGGTTACCCTTAACTCGAAGAAAAGAGATTCAATTTGGGTGATCGTTTATCGATTGACTAAGTATGATATACTGTACATTAAAGAAATTATTAGATTGCATGGAGTGACTATTTTGATTGTTTCTGATCGAGATCCTCGATTTACATCTAGATTTTGGAAGACTTTACATGGAGCGTTAGGAACTCGATTGAATTTTAGCACTGCATTTCATCTCAGACAGATGGACAGTCCAAGAGGACTATCCAAATTCTGGAAGATATGTTAAAAGCCTATGTGATCGAGTTTAAAGGGTCTTGGGAAAAATACTTACCACTTGCCGAATTCGCTTATAACAATAGCTACCAGTCAAGCATCAAGATGGCTCCCTATGAGGCTTTATATGGGAGAAAATGTCGTACGCCCTTGAATTGGTACGAGCTTAAGGATCAAGAAGTTCTTGGTCTTGAGTTGATTAAGGAAGTGGAAGAGAAATTTCAAGTGATTTAGAACAATCTCAAAGCGGCAACTGATAGACAGAAATCGTATATTGATCTTAAGAGGAAAGAGATTGAGTTTCAAATTAGAGATAAAGTGTTTCTAAAAATGTCTCCTTGGAAGAAAGTGTTAAGGTTTGGGAGAAAATGAAAGCTTAGTCCTTGGTTTATTGGGCCCTATGAGATCGTTAAGAGAGTAGTACCAGTGGCATACCAGTTGGCTTTGCCACCGAAAATTGAGAAGATTCATAATGTTTTCCATGTTTTCATGTTTCAGGGGTATAGGTCTGATCCCTCCCATATTCTTACACCAGAAGAAATAGAAGTTCAACCTGACTTAACTTATGAGGAAGAACCAGTACAAATATTGGCTCATGAGGTGAAATAGTTACGGAACAAGACTATTCCATTGGTTAATGTTCTATGGAGGAATCATAAGGTAGAGGAAGCAATGTAGGAACGTGAAGATGATATCCAGAATCAGTACCCCCATCTCTTTGTGCAGTGAAAAATCTAGGATGAATTTTCTTAAGGGGAGATTTGTAACATCCCAACCACCAGGTTAGTGACCAAATTATAAAATTTTAGAATTTAATGACTAAATTAGATAAATTAAAAAGTTCAGGGACTTAAGTGAGATATTTTTATATATGATTGAATAGAAAAGAATGATGAATGAAAGGGAAAATGGTCATTTGACAAGTAAATAATTAAAAATCCCTTATGGTGGTGATATAACCATATAGAGATATGAAAAAGGGAAAAGAAAGATTTTCCAAAACTATCTTCATTATTCTTTCACCTTTCAACATAAGCTTCCTAGCTAAGTGAGTGTGATTTTTCAGCTGGTTTTCTTACAATTAAAGAATGATTTTGATTGATGGAACATTAGGAAAGGTTATGGGAACTTAAAATGAGATAGAAACTAAAGAAGTATGAGTTATGAAAGATTGAATATAAGAAGTTTCTTAATGAAATCTTGAAAGAGAGTTAGTAAGTAAAGTTTAAGATTAAATTTAACTTGTCGTTAGTTAGATTAAGAAGTATGAAGTTTTAGAAATGAAATTAGAACATGTTGAAAATTTAGTAGGATTCTTGGTTTCAAGATATAGGATGAGATTTTGAAGATAATGATGTGTTATATGGACATAAAATGAATTGGGTAAGTGTAGCTAAGTTTAATGGTGTGAAAGGAATTCAAAATGGAAAATTTAAGTAGGTAATTGTAAATTTTCTGGTTAAATAAGTGAATTATGGGTAAAGGGTATCAGTAATATTCATCCAGTACCGATACTTCAAAGAGAAAATGGTTAAATTTGGAGAGAGTGCATCGATACCATAAGTTAAAAGTGAATAAGTCGTTCAAAAGAGTATTGATACCTAAGGGGTAGTATCAATACCTATGGTACCAATAGCCTTAGGGAAGTATCGATACCATTTTTGAAGTGAAATTCCAAAACCAGGAAAGGGTATCGATACCAAAGCATGGTATCGATACCACAGCAAATGAAGCATAGGTACCATACCTTGGGTACCAATACTAATAAAAATGGAAATTTGAAATAAGTACTTCATTTAGCTTAGGTTATTAATGATTGATTTATAAGGTTTAGAATTCTAGTTTTCGTATTAAATGTACATTGGTACATATATTCGAACATAAGCCAATTCTGAAACAATCGAAGAGTTAAGATCGATCGATCGAGGGATAACGATTTATAGGAGTTGATTTGGATTAAGTGAGGCTAAGGTGAGTGCATGTCATAGTATAGATGTTGTTTTATGGAAACAAGACTTGTAATAAGTCTAATTCATATGGTTGATTTCATGGTTCCATGGTTATGAACATTCATATGTTATGATCCTTATGAGTACATGCATAAGTAATATATGTTTATATGTTTTCATATATACTATGTGATCCATGCGAACGTAAATGAATAACATAAACTATATGCTAATGCATAAATGATTATATGAAAAATAATTAAAGTTATATGAGTACAAGTATATGTAACGATTTGATTGATTAAGTGAACATGTGAAATCTGTAAGGAGTAAAGCCCGTGTTATGTGATATGAGAGTTGTAGGTATAGTTGGCATGCCAAGAGTTGAGGGTTCTATGTGGTCCTTCAGGACATATATGTAATCCTTTGGAACATATATATGCGATTCTTTGGGACACATATTTGGTCCTTTGGAATATATATGTGGTCTTTAAGGAGAATTATATATGGTCTTTCGGGTCATATATGTGGTCCTCCAGGACATATATGATGTCCTTAGCGAAATTTTATATGCCCCTCAGTGGGAATTTATACGAGCTTTGGTGACAGGATATGTGCACAACCTCAATGTAATCGCATACCTTAAGTTCTCAGTAATGTACATGGGCACATAAAAGATATAAAAAAAATTAGGGTAAACAACGCCAATGGTCACTGATGTTTGGGTAAGTTTTTGTTTTCACCACTAATGTTTAAAAAGTTACAAATTGGTTGCTAACGTTATCGTTTGTCACAAAATGGTCACTGGCCGTTAACAGCTATTAGGAGCCATCACAGATAACACACGTGGAATGTTAGATGCTTACTGGAATGCCATGGTGAAGAGAGCATTACTCTAACATTCATTTTCTTCTCCCCTTTAAATAAAACCCAATCCCTAACCCTAATCTACCTCTTTTCCTTAATATTCTTCTTTGTTGAAATTTTTCTAAAATCCTTCCCAAGATAAAAGCTAGTAAGGTGAAGATGGAAGACTCCATTGAAGTTCCTCTTTATATTTGTGGACAACCAGCTAAGGTGGTGACGACTTGGACAAATGAAAATTGTGGGATGAGGTTTTTTGGTTGCCGAAACTATGAGAAAAATATGAGTACAAAATGTCATTTTTTTGTTTGGATGGATCCTCCCATGGTGCCTCGGGCAAGATTTGTTTGCTTAGGGTTGTTGAAGAAATTAAGAAAAGTTGAAAGGGAAAGGAGAAATGAGAGGATTTTTTGGCTTGTTATCTTGATTTTATGTGTCTGTAAGCTTTGGGTTAGCAAATGAAAATGATGTTATTTGAATGGTGGATTAAAGCTTTGTAATGGAAGTTTTGTAATGGAAGTTTGTATGTGTTTCTAGATTAATTCTTATGGTTCTATTATTTTGCAATGGTTTTTCTTCCTTTGTATGTCTATAAACTTTGATTTTTTGCATTGTGCATTTAATTTTTCTTCATTTTGCATTGAACTGCAAGAATAATTAAAAAATGAATATTACAAAGAAATGCCAAAAGTATGATGTATTTCATTATCAGTAAACTGATACAAGTCAAAATACAAGTAAGAACAATAATTTGTCAAACCTACTCTAATTCAATATGACATTAAGCCTAAAGTTTAATTCATGTCAAAATACGGATAGTTCATAAGTAAACTTTATAAAAAGAATGGTTATACATCAAAGCCAATCAAGCAGAAGCAAGTATATGACAAAGTAAGTAAAGTTCCTAGGTAAACTACATACAAAAAGTTCCATCAACACTACCCATTTCATTCTTTTGATGTTGTGTGTAAATCTTGATTGTGAGGGTTAGAAACATAAGATTCTTGACTGCCAGGCATTGCATGGTCTGTTGTAGATGGTGGCATCATCCAACGGACTATTGTAGGTGGAATAAGTGGCCTCATTATAGGTAATTTTGGCCTTAATACTTGTTGCCTTGTAGGTTGGATGGTTCGAGCTTGTCGTTGCATTGGAGTTGAGTGTTGGGATGGCTGGTCAGGTGCATGTGGTTGGCTGGATCCTGATTCATGTTGGTTTAGACTCTTGTTACCGCCAACTTCTCCTCTACATGTCCTCTTATTTAGGTTCATTCTTATTTCCTTCATCAGCTTCCTTTCTCCTTTTTTTGGTTGGTCTTCCAGACGGTCTTCTCAATTCTGGAGACACAATAGGCTTTATTTCAGTGACAGGAGTCCATTGCTTAGCACCTATTAACATAGAAGAAATAATTTAGAAAATTAGCATGACATAAATTATTTAGGTATATGTAAATAGTTGAGTAGTTCACCTTTGATAGGACAAATGAAATTAGAATATATTGCAAGCTGTGTGGATTTGTGGTAGCATGTATGAACATAAGGTTCAGGTTGATCATTGTGCAGTTGCATGACTGCTATTGCATGGATACATGGGATGCCTGTCAGGTCCCATTTTCTACAAGAACAAGAGTGGGAGCCCATGTCCACCACATGTTGGTTTCCTGGACCACATTCAACCTTATATTTCAACCCTCTAGCATGTGTAGCCCAACACCTGCATATATCAATAAAAATAACATAGTTCGACAGAATATTTAAACATTCATAATGGTCTGCACATCTCAAATGGTCTCAACATATTTCAACATATCTCAACATATTTCAACAACATATCTTAACATATTTGATAGCATGTGTCAGCATATCTCAACGAAATATTAAATTTGAAAAGAGTTACCTAGTTGCTTGATCAATTATAATGTTCAGCTTCTTCTGAATATTTGGACATAATGGCCCATTAATCTTTTCAGCTGCTTCATATCTGCAATCAATTCTTCTCATAATTTTGGTTCTAATCAGCTCCATCATAGTAAGGATTGGCTTGTCTCTAGCTTCCAAAATGATCTGCACAATATATAATTTGTTAAAAGTTATAGAAAAATAATATATATATAAACAATATTATAATAAGATTACCTTGTTAAAACATTCACAAAGGTTATTGAGAAGCATGTCATATTTAGTAATGGTGGAGAAGTGTGCTTTGGACCACTATTGAGGGTTAAGATGTTTCAGCCACTCAAATGCATCATTAGACAAAGTCTTCAATTCTGTTATGGCATCTTGGAATTCTCTACCATAAGTTGCTCTAGCAGCTCTGCATAGTGCATCCTTAAGAGCTTTTCCTTTGTGATCTTTTTTGAAGTTGGCATAAATATGCCTTACACAATTGTTGGCTTCAACATTAGGGAATAGCTCTGCCACAGCTTCAACAAGTCCCTACAAGGATAACTTAATAAATAATTATGATAATAGGCTTACTAATTTATAATAAATGCAAAAGTTAAGAACATAACCTTTTGTTTGTCAGACATAAAACACCATCCATATGAGTTGTCAATGTCTAAGTCTTTTCCAAGAATTTCCAGAAACCATAACCATGAATACTGATTCACACTCTCCACAACAACATATGTTATGGGATAGATTCCACCATTAGCATCGTACCAACTGTTGCTAGTAAGTAACCAACATAATAACCCTTCAAGAAGCATCCATCAAGGCTGATAATCCTTCTACAACCTGCTTTGAACCCCTCTTTGCAAGCTTAAAGACAAACATACATTCTTTGAAAAAGTCTATTATCTAGTTTGTAAACAGTTGTAGTTCCAGCATTTGTATTCCTTAATTCAAGTAAATATTCATAGATCTTTCCATATTGTTCTTTCAATTTACCTTGAATCATTTCTAAGGCATGCTCTCTAGCCCTTCCACATTTAGTCAAAGAACAAACTATCCCATAGTCAGTCATCACATCTTGTTTGAGGTAAGTCAAAGAATAATTCATATCTGACATGAATTTCTGAATATATTTCATCTCGATGAACCTATAATTGACATTCTTGTTTTTCAACAACTTAGCACAAGTGTGTTCGGACTCGTAAGTCTTAATCTGCCAAGTGTTCGAATCATAATCATGTGAATGCAATGGGGAAGCCCATAATTTCCATGGACAACCCTCTCTACAAACTACTTGTAATCTCTTATTGTCATTAACCTTAAACAAGTTAGTTGTTCTATTCACCCTCCCATATTGCCTATTGCCTCCTTTAAAGTCTCTTTACTATAAAACAACATATCTTTTTGAAATTTAAGGTTCTCCATATCAGTCTCTTTGTTAAACTCAGGAAGGTAGGATGGGCATCTGAGTCATAATCTTTGTCACTATTTAATTCCCCTGAATTAACAGGACTCAAGTCAAACATTTCATCAGATCTATTGTTAAACTCAGGCCTACCCATGTCCCCTAAAATATTTATCACATCCTCCTCTACCATACTAGGTAAACTCTCCTCATCATCAAAAGAATTTTCACCATCAGTTTCCTGAAAATCAGAATATGGTTCATCAGATCCATTGTTTTCATCTTCTACCACAACTTCTTCAAAATCAGCTTATGTCCCTCTAACACCTTCATTACTAGACTTGTCTTTCTCATTGTCCCTTTCAACATTACCCATTTTAGCATTATCCATTTTTACACCAACACTTTCAACATTGTCCCTTTCAACACTACCCATTCAGCATTGTCCCTTTCTACACTACATATTTCAGCATTGTCCCTTTCTACACTACTCATTTCAGCATTATCCATTTCTACACCACCACTTTCAACATTATCCCTTTCAACACTACCCATTTCAGCATTATCCCTTTCTACACTACCCATTAAGCAGTATCCATTTCTACACCACGAATTTCAGCATTATCCATTTCTACACCACCACTTTTAGCATTATCCACTTCTACACCACCACTTTCATAACAACCACTTTCAGTTATACCCTTAACTTGTGCATAGATGTGAATATATCTATTCCTAGGTAAACTCTGTACCATTTTCATTACATCAGAATCAGTTTCTAAAGGCATAATGGAAGACTCAGTTAATTTTGCATTTGACAGTAACCAGAATAATTGTAAAGGAGTAGGGACTAGTATTTGCTCCATCATTTCACAAAAGTCAAGTAAAGAGATTGTGTCACAATCACACAAGTCAAAATAAGCAATCTTGTTACCAGTGAACTTCATTATAGGTGAATGTACAAATGATCCACGTAGTGACACACAACAGAAAATTTTTCATCTTCACGACCTGTAACAAGATTTTTGAATTGATATTCAGCATAGTAGGACCCATAACACACATATACACTTTATCATATTAACATATGGTCCAATATTATTACAATATTCAACATGCAAACATGTAGGGCCCGTAACAGTACAATATTCAGAATATTTATAATTACAAGCATATCACACATATACACATAAATAGTCATAAAGTCAGCATAATTTATCAAATCCTATTGGTCCACAAGAACACAATATTAACCATTATTTTTTAAACATGTAGGGACCACAACATTACAACATTCAAAACATATTATTAAACTACATGGCCTACAACAATATAAAACATTCAACATATAAACATGTCAAACCATAAAGTCAGTATATCCCACATATTTCATAAATTTCAACATTCAACATATCTATGTCAAAACCTTTACAACATAAAGCATATAACAAAAAAATAGCATGAAAAGTGGATACATGATTTCAAGTGGATATAAAGTGATCATATCAAGAAAATAGTATATAACATAAAGTACATATACTTTATGTTGGACAGAAATCATATAACATATAACATAAAGCATTGCCAGCAGAGTTGTAAAGTTGTATAACATATCATATAAACATGAAAAGTAGTCATATAAACAGAAAATATTGCATGTATAGTTGTAAATTTGTCAACATAAAATCAACATTACTTCAACATAAACCACATACATTTTCTGTCAAAAGAAAATAGAAAACATTGCAAGTAAAGTTGTCAACAGGAAATCAACATTATTTCAACATAAATCACATACATTTTCTGTCAACACAAAATCAGTACAGTTGTCAAAAATCAAGAATCAAGAGTAATATAAAACAAAATAATCGACATTATTTAAAAAAAACCCATTCAATTTTTTGGCAAAATTCTAGGCTAATCCATTTTCTCTCAAACTGAAAATTCAACTTACTGTAAAGCATGGCATTGTCCCCTTTTTGTAGTAGCCTCCATGTCAAACCATCTTCACTTTGAACCCTAAAAATTTCCTCAAACCCAATCACTTTGAACCCCTCTTATATCCAAGTGTTACTCGTTATTTTCTCTTAATCGTTTTCTATGTTTCCTCTCTTTGTTTTCTCACTTTTTCGGTTTATGGTTTTCTCAAACACCCTCTGCAACTCTCTGAAACTGCTTCATTCATGAAGGAGGAAGTGAAGAGTGGAATCAAAATAGAATCGGATGGATCCCCTTTATTTTCCCCTCTCATTTTATGTTTAATTATTTTTTGGCTAAATTTTTGGTAAAACACTGGTCAACGGGAGAAGTGAGGTTCTCCACTGTGGAAATCAAACCATCCAGTAAGCATCTAACGTTCCACGTGTATTTTTCGTGACGGCTCCTAACGGTTGTTAACGGCCAGTGACCATTTTGTGACAAACGATAACGCTAGTAACAATTTGTAACTTTTTAAACATTAGTGGTGAAAATGAAAACTTACCCAAACATTAGTGACCATTGTCATAGTTTACCCAAAAAATTAAATACTTTATAAGATGACATGTCATTAATTGTTCAATGCATGATTATATATGTTATGGTTAAGTGGATATATGATTATTGTGATTACATGTTGGAATTATAGGATTGCATGTTGCATTAGTTTATTATTGTATGTTTAAATTATGCCTCGCTAAGTCTGTGACTTAGCATGTGAGTGTTTCACACGTAGGTACCAAGAAATTGGAAGATCAAAGTTAGGGTCTATCAAGACAACATCTCTTTTGGAGATGATCAGATCAGAATTGATTCAAACAGTATGTCATTTTGTTATATTAATTATGTTGGCATGTAATCAAAGTTTAAATAACGTATGCTCTTATCGATTTTGTAAGTATTTTGATTGTACTTATGTAAATTATTTCACTATTATATAAATGAAAGTTCAAATTTTCAATGATTTTGTAAGAGTAAATGTTTTGAAAAGTCAATGTGACACCTTAGATTCGTATCCAGGTCGGGTACGAGTTGGGGGTGTTACAGACGAAGCCTGGCTATGGGGGGTACCAAGGATAGATGAGTGGGGAACGGTGGAAAAAATAACGTCGCAACCGCCTTTTTCCAAGCCTAGGGTATTTTCTCTATATGATTCTCAACACTTTATGAAAAGTTATAATGGGGTATTTATAGTGGGAATTTCTAGGGTTTAGTGCCCTTGAAAATTCACTAAATACCCTTAAAATTAAACCCTTTTTTTGAATAACATAGTAGTTTATGGTAGTCTCAAATTCCTTGATGAAGGCATGATTGGACGTGAGGTAGATTGGACAGTTGGCCATGTGATGTCAATAATTTTGTCTCGTACTATGTCAGACTAACGAGATAAAACTCACCTTGGAAAGAAAATTAGTTCCTCGTTGTCGTTGTCTTCTGTTCCACTGGCCCTAGTAAATTAATTTGTCTCGGCAAATAAATTCTTCCTCAGTCATTTCCTACATCATCACAATTAACAAACATCCTTTCTCATCAGCAGTATCAGTTTAATCAAATAAACTTTGCCTCGAAAAACTTATCCACCACATGAAAATATGTCCTAAATACAACTATATGCAGCTAAAATGCTATGTCAATGGCTTTTAGACAATCAATAAGTTAAGTAAAAAAGACCTAAAATATAGTCTTTTTACGAAGTTATGAATAAGCCACTAGCCCAATACTCTCTAAAACCTCATATGGCCCG